AAGTCACACTTGGTTTTCTCCATTACCTCCTCTAAGTTAACAATGCCTTGGTGAGACTTTGCTAGTCCCATTGTTTTCGGGAATGGGTCATCTTCTAAATCAACAATCTGCACCATAGATAAGTGTATTCATTAAAACCAAAAATAAGCTTTCTTTACAACAAATATTTATATAAAACCATGTGGTAAATTTGTTTAAATAATAATCTTGGATAAGTGAGAAAATTTTGTATTGCACTTATTGGACTAAAATGTGTATACATTATTATTGTAAAATATAATTAAACAAATAATTTAATTCTAAATAATTAGAGAACATGCCCAAAGAGCAATTTCTAATAAAATACAATTTCAAATATCCTCACATCTTTGTACGTAGCTCCATTATCGAGTGAGTACTGCCAAGTTCCTAAGTAACTCCCATATGCCTGCAAGATCAAGATGGACATCTTGGTGCTCTCATCACCGTCTATGTAGTAGGCGCTAGCATACACATGCGCTGGGTAGCCGGTGTTCGGGAGACCATAGGTCAGCACGGGCACCTGCCGCAGGTTTGGGGTGGGTCGGGCCACGGGGGCACCGCTGGCCTCTTGGATCTGTGCACAGTGTCTCCTATTAGAATCCAGCTCACAGTATTTCATTAACATTCAAACATCAGAGAAAGTAACGCAAAAATTACATTTTGGGTTCAATTGTGGTCGTATTTGATGCGTGAGTCTGTCTTAATCTCTATCTCTGCTTCTTTTATCATACTCTTTATCTCTTTCTGTCTCTTGACTTTTTTTTAAATAATCAGTCAACCATTTTTATTAATAAATGGTTGCATAAACATATAATAATTTATTTATTTTGTGTAAAGTTTCAGCACTGTCTTTCACGTGCAGTACTTATATATATTTTGCCATAACATTTTTGGCTGGTGGTAATAGAACTAACCTATGGCATAGCAAGAAACATTAGCCTTAATACTGCCAATGGAACAACCAGCTGTACTGACTTTTGACGCCTTCAACAAAGAGGATCGAGGAGATCCTCTCGGAGTTGAGAGAGAGAGAAAAACTTCCCTGTCATAATAACTTTACACCAATACACTTCTTTCTCCTTTTACGTTATACAGTAAAATATGTTACTTACATCACACACAAGATCATCTTCACTCATTTTATAAATAAACATATTCACCTTTCCTTAGAAAGATCTTTCTCATTTCATAAGAAAGTTTTCGCTTACTACACGAGAAATATCTTCGTTACATCAATGTCCCCTATTATCTGCCGAGTGGACATTAGGTGATGCTAAGTTTGTACGATCCTACCACGTCCTCGAAGTGGGTAACACCTTCCTTGACCTACAGGTAGCGACCTTGCCAATATTTATATATATACAAAATAATATTCTCAGAGCACACAGCCGCGCTCAAAGTGAGACCTTACCTCCAAGGGAATATCATACTCGTTTTGGAAGAGAGCGGACGTTTCATTACTATGTTCGGTGTCTTGGTCAGTGTAGACAGAGACGTGAAGTTTGGGACTTCTCAGGCCCTTCGAGGGAGGGTGTAACCTCACCAGTACGTCTTTTGCTGCATCACAAGACGACAGGGGTAACTTCGCTCCCAGGAACGGATTCATTGTTAACCACCTGCAAGAAACTGGAGCTAAACTTTCCTTCTTTGGAGGAAACACGAGTAGGATAAGATAAATAACAATTATGTTTAAGTTATAATTTTGTGTTACTATTAAGATTAGTTTTATTAGTTAGTTTGAAGTCGAGAAAAAAGTGCATATTTAAAAAAAATATAACTAACATCTAATGCTTTCATGGTTAGAAAACTAAATATAATTAATAAGCCCCATGTATGTAATTAAATTCGATAATATCACAACCCCCATAACCTTCCATTTCCATTCATTGACTGTGTGAGAATAAAAAACATGAAACACTTACACGTTACCACCGTCTAGTGAATAGGCAATGCGAATTTTGGCCTTTTTCCGGGAGTTAGGTCCCGCAGCCCACTCCAACTTGAGTCCTCTCTCTCCACTCTCAGTGCTTCCAGCTGCATTGGGACCTTCTGGTTCCCCTGGGAAACTAGAGTTGCCTTGTCCCTCGCTATATTTACTACTTCTTCCACTCATCCCACTTCCCTGCCAGGTACCGCCTTTCTTACTAATGTTAGACATCTTGTTTGCGTTGAATCGAGGCTGCTGGAGCGACCTCACCCATGACACTACTGTTGGGCTGCCATAGTCCAGAAGGCCGGCTTTGGAAGCTTGTTTGGGCAAGTCTGTGAGATATGATCATATGATACAATATTCAAGTTTAAAATTAGGAGTTATACATTCGTAAACATACAAAAATACCATGTAAATGTGAAGAGTAAAATTAAATCTTTTATTAAAAAATTGTTAATTTTCTATAATTTACATATATATAATTAAACTGCTTATTCTGTTAAAAAACCGAATAAACTGTCTCTAGTATTAGATAAAACATCATCGTGCATTTACTTGAGAGAGTCAAATGGAACCCTTACTAACCAGCGCCCTCTTCCCAAGCCTGCCAGTAGCGGTCATCTTCACATGTTAAGTTGACCAACTCTGACAGCCTGATGATCCTGGGCGTATCCTCCTTCAGGGAGATGTTCAAGGCTGCCAGTGTGAGTTGTATAGCCGGGATCTCCGGGGCCACCAGCTCCACAACCAACCGCGGCAGCTGGCTCTCTGGGGGGGAGGGTACATAGGTCAATAATGCACCCATTCTCTTATATACAAACATGGGATAACATTGAATCAGTTATGTAAAGCACTGACGAGCTTTAGGTATGTGATAAAGTAGCAAACTCAATAAAGAAATGGGAAATATTTCATGTAGCACAAACTGGGCAAAATTATAATAATAGTTAATAACATACATTATATTATACTTTGTCAATAAATTTCGTTTAAAGTTTTGTGTTATAATTTCAATTTATTCAATTATTCACTTGAGTCATTCACTGAACTCAAAGCCTCTTTTGTAAAATTCGCAAAACACAAAATTTTAGCAAATATTTCCTACCTTATCAGTTTATCTCAATTCAAATTTTCATTACATTTCGTTTGTTGAGAGTTTACTTTAGTCCTGAATTATATTCATGCCTAAAATATCCTTACTGGCTATTGTAGTTATCTTTCGTAATTGTTAGACCTTAAGCCCAATGCCAAACAAAACATTATAATAACTACTAATATAATTTATAATATTATTCCCGATAAACCAAATAAATAAAATAGAAAATCATACAAATACACCCTTGCAGCAAGTGAGATGAAATGATAAAACTCTGCAATAGCCTTAACTGCAATAATAACCTTATGCAAATAACCAATGCAAATAATAACCTTAACTGGCAATAACCCCAAACTTACCCGTCTCTGTCATATTAATAAAATCCAGGCCAAAGGCGTAGGTACTAGCATAAGGCTTGTAACGCAGGTAGTTTGAGGTGGAGAGCATCGAGGTGGGCTCCAGGTGCACCCACACGTCCGACGGAGACCCACGCTTCATCCACGAACCAAACCACGTCGTACAGTTCTGCACTGTGAACACCTACACGACAAATCATCAGTGAGTACAGCTGTGGCACCTCATTACAAGTACAGATAGGAGGATAGACTAGATAAAGTGTCAGCACATATCAGAACAGGTTTCGGAGATATTAAGATATATATATTTATTTATACATAGCAGGCAATAGAGACTATTTATGGTAGATTGGAATATGATTGGAACTGGTAACAAAGGGTCATGGACAACTCACATAGATGAAATAAATACAACTCCCATAGAAGAAATAAAGCGGTTGGACCTGATAGAGTTTCACCTTGGGTGCTGCGAGAATGTGCAAATAAGCTGAGCATTCCACTTCAATTAATATTCCAGACATCCTTGTGCGCGGGAATCTTAGCAGATATATGGAAAAAGGCAAACATAATACCAAGTTATAAAAATGGTATTCGAGAGGAACCTCTAAATTATATACCAGTGTCATTAACAAGCGTGGTAGTCAAAATACTAGAAAAAATAGTAAAAGCCAAATGGGTTGAACACCTAAAGAGTAATGACATAATAACGGACAGACAGTATGGTTTTCGAACAGGAAGATCCTGTGTAACAAATCTACTTAGCTTTTTGATAGAGCCACAGAGATAATTCTGGAAAGTGATGGTTGGGTTGACTGTGTCTATCTGGACCTAAAAACGGTTTTTGACAGAGTCCCACACAAGAGGCTGTTCTGGAAACTGGAACATGCTGGAGGGATGACAGAGAGACTTCTGACATGGATGAAAAATTTTCTAACTGACAGACAGATGAGGGCAGTAATCAGAGACAATGTATCTGACTGGAGGAGTGTTACTAGCAGAGTACCACAGGGTTCAGTTCTTGCACCAGTAATGTTCAAAGTCTACATAAACGATCTATCAGAAGGGATACAGAATTACATGAACATGTTTGCGGATGATGCTAAGATACTGGGGAAGATAAGAGACGCAGACGATTGTAATGCCCTTCAAATTGATCTAGATAAAATATGTGCTTGGAGTGCCAAGTGACAAATGGAATTCAATGTGAATACATGTCATGTTATGGAATGTGGAATCGGAGAAAATAGACCACACACAACTTACAAATTATGTGGAATGGAACTACAGAACTCTAATAAAGAACGAGACCTAGGGGTGGTTTTGGATAGCAAGCTGTCGCCAGAGGAACACATTGTGAGAAGAGCGTATGTGTCGCTTTTCAACTTCAGACTTGCTTTTAATTATATGGATGGTGAAATACTAAAGAAACTGTTCATGACTTTTTGAGACCAAAATTGAAATATGCATCAGTTGTATGGTGCCCAAATCTCAAGAAGCACATAAACTGGAAAAGGTGCAACAGCATGCTACAAAATGTCTTCTGGAACTGAAAAACGAGAATTATGAGGAGAGACTAGAGGCGTTAAACATGCCAAAACTAGAAGACAGAAGAAAAAGAGGTGATATGATCACCACTTACAAAATATTAACAGGAACCGACTAAATTGACAAAGGAATTCCTGAAACCAGTAACTTCAAGAACAAGAGGACACAGATACAAGCTAAGGAAATTATGCCAAAAAAATACTAGAAAGTTTTCTTTTGCAAACAGAGTGGTAGACGGTTGGAACAAGCAAAGTCAGAAGGTGGTGGAGGTCAAAACCGTCAGTAGTTTCAAAACGTTATGCAACAAAGAGTACTGGGAAGACGGGACACCACGAGCGTAACTCTCATCCTGCAACTACACTTGGATAATTACACACACACACTTCACTGACCACTTCAGATGTGTCCGAGTTGTTGGTGGTAGCATTTCTATACAGTTCAGAAACGAGTATTTGGCTACCAGAAGGATCACTGGTGTAATTCCTGGGCAGCCTCAGAGGCCCAGGTAAAGTCCAAGGAGCCCCACTTGACTGATCTGTGGAGGGAGGATATTAACAGTTAATTCCTTAATGCAAGTAAAAAGATAAAAACTTCTTATAACATATAAAAAATGACAGTTAGTAAATTAGTTATGGGTAGGATACTCAACGAACAACAACGCAAAACATTTAATATAAAAATTAACAAAACCAGGATGACAATACATTAACAGCAAAATAAAATAAAAACTTATTCTATACAAAAAATGAACAAATTATCAATTATGGAAAAACATAATTGAGTACCATATATGAGTTATGTACTGAATTGTACAGTGAACTTCAGTTGATTACATTAAGTTGTTTTGATCGTTCTCATCAAAATAATGACATAATTTGTCCTAACTTGAAGAACATCAAGGTCAGGGACAGTGAGAGTTACCCAACCAAACAGCTTGAAGTTAAAGGTTACACGTGGCAAGCAGAGATGTGAAGACTCACCAAACTCGCATGTGTTCTCAGGTCCACACTCGCCCGTGGCCACACAATAGATGTACCTCGGGGGGCAGACCTTGCTGCAGGAGTTACCCAGCGTCAGGCATGACCTCGTCACGGGACAGTACCTGCCAACATTAACAAGAACATTCTGCAATGGAACACAGGTGTGGTTCTCAGAACGGGCCACTACTGCTATGCTTGTCATGATGACTTGAGGCAGCCATATTATTTACTTATACACACACACATATAATATTATATATATATATATATTATATATGCATCTACCATTCTGATGTATTACCTGAAATACTCACTTTAATGGGCTCAATAGTCTAACATTCTCATCGACTTTACTCGTCATTTTAATTTGTATAAGAGATACGAAACGCCATGATCTATTATATGCACCCTTCCGATAACCCATATCTGTAATTTTATCCTTCTGCATCCACACTAAAAATACATCCAGCTTTAACGTAACATATCCATCACTCTAGCTGTTTTATCCATTATATTAGTCATTAACAACCAGCATACCTTTATTCTATCTTATTTGGTATGGATTTACAATAACACAATATTTAAAAAAATATTCGTTTCATATCATTCTACAGTTAATCCTGCATAATATATACAATATTCCAACAATAACTGCTATGCCATCAGGTTATATACAATTTGTTTCTGTGTAAGCTCAAATGTTGTCATAAACGAGAGTGGACCCGAGCAGCGTACATGGTGGAGGGTGGGCAGGTGGAGGTGCCTTTGAGAGACCTGCAGCGTCCGCTACAGCAGACGGAGGTGATTGGGCAGTCCTCGGGATGGGTGCACACTAAGCCAGTGTCGTGGCGGGGTTTCCCAATCACTAGGCACGTCATGTTGATGGTGTTCTTATCCGTGTTACCCGCGCCGTCCACACACTGTAGATGGAGCGTCTCTGTCCGAACACAAGCAATTGGTATTACGCCAAGGCTCCCTTGATTTATATAATACATACACATACATTTATTTATTTATATATACAAGAGTTCTTAAATTCTTGTAAAGCCACTAACACGCGTAGCGTTTTGGGCAGGTCCTTAATCCTATGTTCCCCGGAATACGACCCGCCAAATCATTTAACAGCCAGGTACCCATTTTACTGTTGGGTTAAACAGAGGCTACAGTTAAGGATTTGCGCCCAGTAAATCCTAACCGGCCAGGATACGAACCAAAGACTAAGTGGTCGTGAAACGCCAGGCAAGGGGTTCTTAACCATTACACTACGGGGACTGCAAATATATACATATATATACATACTGTTTATACATATTGTATACTACCATCCTTCTGTTTAGAAAGTACTTTTTCTATGTAGACCATCGTACAAAAATTGACGTAATGGCCAATTAGATAGTAGAATTTAGTACTATTATAGTCTTCATAAAGTACATAAAAATAAAGCTAAAAACCAAACTTAAATATTCCAAGGCCTAGTATATATATACTATATTAGGCCTCAGATAGCATGTATTAGGCCTAGGATGATAAGGTTAGATTTTATTTAGCAACATAAATACAAAACCATTTCCGGTTTATCCAGATTTAATAGTACCAAATTCTGCTTTCTAATTGTCCAATACATCAATGTCTGTATGAACGACGGTCCACATCGTTACTATAAGCACTATCTAAATAGCAGGTTAGGCTGGTGTAATATATAAAAATATATATAATTCTGCATTAGGAGACTGACCAGGATCTGGGCAGCAGCTGTAGTTGAGGGGACAGTGGCGGTTAGAGATGCAGGTGGAGTAGGTGAATGGTTCGCGGGTGGAGGCCTTTTCTGTGTTCCCTGGACACTTTAATTCTGGCATCCAGTCAGACGTATCCTACAAACAGGTGTAAATGATAAAGTTATTCATATGCATACCATTTAAGAGTCTAAAAAAATTTTGTTGTTGTCGTCTGTGATTTTGATATTTCTCAGAAACTTTGCTTTGTGTTATATCATTTGGTGACATTGTCCTACCGTGCCGTAAGTAGGATCAGGAATACAGGCGCCAGTTGTAACTGAGAATACAGTTCCTGCCCGACAAGACTTCGCCTTTCTGTGCCAAATAAAGGATACTCTTTGTTATTATTATTATTAAGCTTAGAATAAGGTATATATCAAGTTTGTGTCTTTCGCATTTAGCTGCTTCTATATCTAGGTGAAACTCTCAGTCTTTTGTAACTTTTGTTTACTGGATATATTATAGAATGAACCTAATAATGCTACATTAATGATACTAACAATTAATTATCTAAATATTACATTTTTTACTTGTATTCTGAAGTAATAATTAATATTACAGTTTATAATTTCTATCAGAGAATAACTTCTTTCAGTGACATAAAATGACACAAGCAATTTGTAACTTAAGAAGCTTATTCACGAACTGCATTAATAAATAATAATATATAATTGTGCCACATGATTAATATACTGTATAAGATATGAGGGAGTCCACTCCCACTACCGAGGTCTACTAGTACTGACTCCGTTGTACTCTTATCTAGATTAGTTTCGGCAGTCGAAGGAGATGGACGCACGAAATGCCACTGCAGTGAAGACATCTTGGAAGGTATATGACGCAGCTCTTGTGGAAAGACTCATGCATTGACTACGTCCCTTTTATAACTGAAAATTGATCTGACACAAGAGGGTATGTGCGACTATTTAGACGCCGTGTATGCCTGCGTCAGAGAAGCTTGTCATTTTGGCAAAGCAGAACCCGAGTGTTTTGCACCAAGTTATAAGAAAGGACAATGTAACTAGAATTCAAGAAGATGTAACTGGGTGAACACTAAATTCAATTGTAAACTAGGGCCTATATTATTTTTGATACATGTACATTTTCTGACCGTGGAAGTTTCATCTACTCATATCAGTACTTGCAAATGATACAAAAGTGATGAAGAGTCATAACACACGAAGACTGTTAACAGGAGCAGGACAACCTGGATGAGCTCCGGTAATGGAAGGAGAATTTTGGCCACTAGACTTCAACTCATATATATACAAGTTTTGTGATAGGAAATAATCCAACTCATGGGACCATTATGAAATATTTGCGAGGCGTCGTCCTGACACTGTAAATGAGAAGAACCAGGGAGTTCATATAACCTCTAGCTTAGTACCAGAAGCTCACCCATATATGGTAGACGATGTTGTGTGAGGTCCACTCTGGAATATGCTGCGCTCATCATGCAATCCCCATCTAAAGAAGCATAAAACCAAACAAAAACGACCCAAGGTATACAATCCAGAATGGACTATGAGGACAGACTGAGAGCTAAACCTCACCACACTTAATGAGAGACGGGATCGTGGTCATATGATAACGCCATACAGATTATCAGAAAATGTATAAGGCTGATAAATATAAAAATGTTCACGAGTTACAGGGATATAAGATAAAAAAAAAGTTATTAGCTTACGATTAGTGAACAAATTTAATGTACTAGAGGGAAAGTTAGTAAAATCTAACTCAATAAGTTATTTCAAAATTAGCTGTGACAGGAAGCAGGAAGGGTCGGGATTCACTGCATAAGGGAACCGGCAACTGGAAAAGTGGAGCTCAGGAGTTAACGCTCGAGTCTGAAAACACATTTAGTTGAAAACCAAACTAAATCACATCAAGAAAAGGAAATTTCCTCATAAACAAAGGACGAAAAAAAAATATTCAATCCTTATAGTGGAGAATGAGGGCAAGAGTGAGGATCTCAGTCCAGGACCAAGAGAATGTCACCTCAGGTAATGGGGTAATGCCACCTCAGGTAATGGGTAATGTCACCTCAGGTAATGGGTGTTAACGTGACACATGACCATTTATAGTACATCTGGCTACAGAGTGCATTCATTCACCTTGCAAGTATGATATATTTCCTCTCGTGTTTACCGAGATTTTCGCTCGTACTTACATGTAAATTTTTATAGTTGAATCATAACACTAAATACATAGGAGGTATTGGCAGTTGGGTGTAGTTATTGTGTTCTGACTTTCGTTTGTGTGGTAATCTATAGACACAGTTTTATCAATGCTTTCGTTACAGCTTATAACACAAGCTCTTAACTTAATGTTTGTAAAGAACCGAATATAAGAGTTAGTATACGTTCATTCTATTGACCTATTATTGCTTCATAGTGAGTCATTGTAATATACTTGCAGCAGTAAGTGATCGTTACCAGTGATGTGATGTCCATGTGTGTAGGGGGTGTTCATGTGTGTGTGTGTGTGTGTGTGTGTGTGTGTGTGTGTGTGTGTGTGTGTGTGTGTGTGTGTGTGTGTGTGTGTGTGTGTGTGTGTGTGTGTGTGTGTGTGTGTGTGAGAGAGAGAGAAAGAGATACAGTGTCAGATCTAGGCACAGTATCCACCAGTAGGCACATTATAGGCATTGTATGCTGAGATTCGGCACATATCACCTACATAAAATATCATTTAATGCATTGTTTATTTTCAGAGGAAAAAATTACGTGTGGGATATCGATATTTATATATATATTGAAAAATAATAAATCACTGTGCTAAACACTGGAATTATGTCACCTGCATCAATATTTACCTGCCAAGTGATATACAACTTTCTACCTTATTACTAATACTTTGAATAAAAAGAGAATTCAATAATCTGTCCCAACATTTGACTTATTACTGGGGATACAGGGAAAATGGACCAGTTGAAGCCGCAAGCAAGTGGGGTTGAGCTACGAGGATGAACAAGGTTATCGTTTATGGGGTCTAGTATGAGTGGGGGTGGAGTTACGGGAGCAGGAACAAGATGTATGGTAAGAGTGGGGTGGAGTTAAGGGAGCAGGAACAAGATGTATGGTAAGAGTGGGGTGGAGTTAAGGGAGCAGGAACAAGATGTATGGTAAGAGTGGGGTGGAGTTACGGGAGCAGGAACAAGATGTATGGTAAGAGTGGGGGTGGAGTTAAGGGAGCAGGAACAAGATGTATGGTAAGAGTGGGGTGGAGTTACGGGAGCAGGAACAAGATGTATGGTAAGAGTGGGGGTGGAGTTAAGGGAGCAGGAACAAGATGTATGGTAAGAGTGGGGTGGAGTTAAGGGAGCAGGAACAAGATGTATGGTAAGAGTGGGGTGGAGTTAAGGGAGCAGGAACAAGATGTATGGTAAGAGTGGGGGTGGAGTTAAGGGAGCAGGAACAAGATGTATGGTAAGAGTGGGGTGGAGTTAAGGGAGCAGGAACAAGATGTATGGTAAGAGTGGGGGTGGAGTTAAGGGAGCAGGAACAAGATGTATGGTAAGAGTGGGGTGGAGTTAAGGGAGCAGGAACAAGATGTATGGTAAGAGTGGGGGTGGAGTTACGGGAGCAGGAACAAGATGTATGGTAAGAGTGGGGTGGAGTTACGGGAGCAGGAACAAGATGTATGGTAAGAGTGGGGTGGAGTTACGGGAGCAGGAACAAGATGTATGGTAAGAGTGGGGGTGGAGTTAAGGGAGCAGGAACAAGATGTATGGTAAGAGTGGGGGTGGAGTTACGGGAGCAGGAACAAGATGTATGGTAAGAGTGGGGTGGAGTTACGGGAGCAGGAACAAGATGTATGGTAAGAGTGGGGGTGGAGTTACGGGAGCAGGAACAAGATGTATGGTAAGAGTGGGGGTGGAGTTAAGGGAGCAGGAACAAGATGTATGGTAAGAGTGGGGTGGAGTTAAGGGAGCAGGAACAAGATGTATGGTAAGAGTGGGGGTGGAGTTACGGGAGCAGGAACAAGATGTATGGTAAGAGTGGGGTGGAGTTACGGGAGCAGGAACAAGATGTATGGTAAGAGTGGGGTGGAGTTACGGGAGCAGGAACAAGATGTATGGTAAGAGTGGGGGTGGAGTTAAGGGAGCAGGAACAAGATGTATGGTAAGAGTGGGGGTGGAGTTACGGGAGCAGGAACAAGATGTATGGTAAGAGTGGGGTGGAGTTACGGGAGCAGGAACAAGATGTATGGTAAGAGTGGGGGTGGAGTTACGGGAGCAGGAACAAGATGTATGGTAAGAGTGGGGGAGGGCAGTATTCAACAGCGTTCCTTCACAGCTTGCTGATGCATGCGCTACACTGTAAAAGGGGAGTTATTTACAATAGGTTACAGCGGGGTGAACCCTCTAGAGTCCACACAGAATTCAATTCCCGGGAAGAGTGATAATGAGTCTTACGTAGGGGAGGGGTCGGCGCACCCCTTGCTGGCGCTCACACACTCTCTCTTCTGCAAGCAGTAAATGTACCTGCAAAATATAAAGAATTCTATAGCAGTCTGTTGGACAGTGGAGATATACTGATATTTATAATATACACTGTTGGATAGTGCATATATAGTGATAAGTACACTGTTGGTTGTTGATTTATATGCCTATACATATATATATTATTGCATAGTGGAGATATAGCATTATACATAGGTAGATAATGGAGACATGGAGTTATATTAAATGTGTGGCAGTAGAACCATAGTATATATATGGTTCCATATATTCTATAAAAAAATTTTTTAACAAATTGTTCTAATATCATCACTGAAGTTAGAAGAATGTCGCACCAGGTGGTATTCCTAATTAACTATTAAACAGAACTTTTAGACACAGCTGAGATGTATTTCAATAATGCTACACTCCCCTTTGAAAACAGATATCACCCATGAACATAATTTTTAATCGACACCGCAAATAGCATAGAACTAACGATAAATGAAGGATTTGAGTACATTAAAATAAAAGCCAATATGTAGCACCTTACTGACTTAGTTATTACACTCTGAAAAACGACAAGCCATGACAATTTTCTAATTCGTTGCAAAAAACATATATCTAACAGTAAATTAATGTTGAAAACAGTAGCAATACGTTTAAAAGAAGTGGTGATGAGAGCATTATTATTTACCACACTTGCAGGGTGTGTGATAAGGTGTGTGGCGGAGGAGGTGAGGTGATATGAATGTGTGTGAGAAAGAGAGAGAAAGATTGCTTCATGTAGCAATAATATACATGAAAGATTGCTTCATGTAGCAGTAATATACATGAAAGATTGCTTCATGTAGCAATAATATACATGAAAGATTGCTTCATGTAGCAGTAATATACATGAAAGATTGCTTCATGTAGCAGTAATATACATGAAAGATTGCTTCATGTAGCAATAATATACATGAAAGATTGCTTCATGTAGCAGTAATATACATGAAAGATTGCTTCATGTAGCAGTAATATACATGAAAGATTGCTTCATGTAGCAATAATATACATGAAAGATTGCTTCATGTAGCAATAATATACATGAAAGATTGCTTCATGTAGCAATAATATACATGAAAGATTGCTTCATGTAGCAGTAATATACATGAAAGATTGCTTCATGTAGCAGTAATATACATGAAAGATTGCTTCATGTAGCAATAATATACATGAAAGATTGCTTCATGTAGCAATAATATACATGAAAGATTGCTTCATGTAGCAATAATATACATGAAAGATTGCTTCATGTAGCAATAATATACATGAAAGATTGCTTCATGTAGCAGTAATATACATGAAAGATTGCTTCATGTAGCAATAATATACATGAAAGATTGCTTCATGTAGCAGTAATATACATGAAAGATTGCTTCATGTAGCAATAATATACATGAAAGATTGCTTCATGAAGCAATAATATACATGAAAGATTGCTTCATGTAGCAATAATATACATGAAAGATTGCTTCATGTAGCAATAATATACATGAAAGATTGCTTCATGTAGCAATAATATACATGAAAGATTGCTTCATGTAGCAGTAATATACATGAAAGATTGCTTCATGTAGCAATAATATACATGAAAGATTGCTTCATGTAGCAATAATATACATGAAAGATTGCTTCATGTAGCAATATGGCGGGAGATACTCACCCTCTGGGACACATGGTGGCCATGGAGCCTGGTGGTCGGTCGCCGCACCCTCCAGCAGCCTCGCACGTCCCGCTCGACAAACAGAACACCTGCGGCCGTGGTTTACACGTTACAACCCGTCATGTCTCCATAATGTACACTAACACTATATCTTAAAAAATAAAAGGCACTCACACCAGGCAGAATTTACAATGTTTTTTCGTTGTTTACATGTTACAACCAGAATTTTTCAATGTTTTTCGTTGTTTACACGTTACAACCCGTCATGTCTCCATAATGTACACTAACACTATATCTTAAAAAAACAAAAGGCACTCACACCAGGCAGAATTTTCAACTCAATTCAGAATGTTTACATTTAGTGTTGGTAATTAGTGATTGAATTACTTTTCTAAATACACTTTTTTTTTAACATTACATGTGAGCATTAACATGAGACAAACAATAATATTTGTTGTGTTGGTAGGATGGTGAAGGCGTGGGAGTGAAGGAAGAGCAGAACACTGGGCAGCAGACACACGTGATATTCGAGGATGGCGGAGCTGGGGTTCAGAGTGAAGTCAGTTACTGTAATTCACTGCCCCTCCAACCCCCCTCTTCTTCCCCACATAATTACAGCAATCTACATCCAACGATATGACTCCTCGACATGAATTCCCTTTCTCTGACCCTTGAAGGTTCTATGAAATACGGATGAACGTACATCCATTTAGCCAGTATTTATAATGCTGTATTGTACACAAGATTTTCCTCGTTAGGTTGCATACAAACGCGAAATGCCATCCTCTTGCCAGCCATGTTAGGTCTTCCTGAACTGGTTTTGGTTTAATGATTTCATATTAATAAAACTCCAACGTACACAGGTGCCGGATCTGAATGTCATAATTGCAGAATTAATTAATTTGCACGGTATAATAATGCATATTGTTCATAATAATATATAAATTAATAGAACTCCTCTATTATCTCTCCCCCTAGTCGTCTCATTGCTCTTTTGTCTCCCCCTCAGCTGTTTCACTCCTCTTCTGTTTCACCCTGTCTTCGCTGTCGTCACGTACCGCCTCTCCTGTCTTATCGACCAATTCTCTTCTGTCTAGCCCTCCCCTGACGACCCCCCCCCCTTCCCCACAACCTCCTATGATTCCTTTGTCCTATTCACTGTCGGGGCGTGGCGACCGTGACCATGGAAGCAGGTGGTGTTGTGGGGATCGAAGCCGTGTCCCTGAGTTACGGGAACACTTTACACCAACTTGGACATGTGGGTCACGGGAGTGGGCAACACACACACACATACACCCCACACTTGTGTTGCCCCGCATGTTGCAGTATCCTACTGGGGTACCACAATACACGCCACATACATGCTGGTCTTGGTGTGGGAGTACCATAATATCAACTCTAACATACACATACTGCACAAATATTAGTTTGGGGAGGTTGGAGAGTAATAATGTAGTCCAATAATTCTTTCCCACAAGATAAAGTGCCAGAGGGAATCTAGACAAATATCTCATATATTGTAAATATGTTGGCTAATAATGTAATAACTAGCAGAGGTACAGTCAGGGTGTTTATGATGAGCTAGGAACAATTATATGTAACTTAATCAATACCTTGAGTTCGTCCATACCCTTTTCAGTTTATCTAATACCCTGAGAACTTTCATATCCTTCCCACTCAGCCAATCCTCTGACAGCCTCATTCATATTCCTCCTGCGTAACCAACTGTTGCCATACACTGAGTTACAGCACCCAGTGGCAGAGGGAGAGTGAGCGCTCATGCCAGAGTCATGGTGATACAGGTGAGAGCCCATCTCAGCTGGGTGAGATGGGTATATGAGATGGGTATACCCAGTATATGCAGTACTAACCTGCATATCATGCGATCAGGTGATCGCATGATATGCAGGTTGTAAGCACACACACACAGGGAGGGACGGTAGCCTGGACAAACACGGGCCGACAAGGAGAGTGATGGAAGACACATACAATCTTTAACAGAGGTGTTAGTGGCGTGACTGGAATGTTTCACCTTTGACCTTTACCCCCTCTAATGTTCCCCCTCACTGCTTGCCTGTCTCCCCCTCTCCCCTCACTGTGTTCCTATCCCCTCTGTATGTCTCCCTCCCCTCACTGCCTGTCTATCTCCCTCTCCCCTCACTGTGTGTCTCCCTCTCCCCTCACTGCCTGTCTTCTCCCCTCCTGTGTGTCTCCCTTCACTGTCTGTCTCCCTCTCCCCTCACTGTCTATCTCCCTCTCCCCTCACTGTCTATCTCCCTCTCCCCTCACTGTCTCCCCTCACTGCCTGTCTCCCTCTTCCCTCACTGCCTGTCTCCCTCTCCCCTCACTGTCTGTCTCCCTCTCCCCTCACTGCCTGTCTCCCTCTCCCCTCACTGCCTGTCTCCCTCTCCCCTCACTGTCTGTCTCCCTCTCCCCTCACTGCCGTCACCCACGCACCCCGTCACCCGCCCCGTTTTGTGGCTAAGAGAAGAGAAGAGGAGACGTTAGGTAAATTAGGGAAGGAGGGGAGGCATGTTAATATGAAGAAAGGAGGAGAAATATATGGATACGAGGGAAGGAATGGGGAAGAGAAGAGACGAGGGAGTTCGGTGGGCAGAAGAAAGAGTCTGGCTGAAGGGAACGAGAGGGGGATAGAAAGAGAATGGGAAAGGGAGAAGTAGAGAAGGGGGAAGAGTGAACAGAGAGTAGGGAGGAGGGGAGGGAGGAAATGAGCCAGGTAGAAGCAATAATCGACATTCTTCCCCATCGAAGACTTAAGGTGGCAGGGAAGGGGGTGGGCGGGGGGGGGGGAGAAGGGAGGGGTAGGAGATAAAGGGAGGGGGAAGGGAGTAAATGGAGAGAATGATAGATTGATGTACAGAGGGAGGAAAGGGCCGGGGAACGCCATAAAGGTTGTACGGAGTGGTGATGGTGGTGGTGATGATGATGGTGGTGGTGATGATGATGGTGGTGGTGATGCGAGAGTAGAGTGAGTAGCTCCTCCCCCCCCCCCACCACCACCACCAACTCTCCCTCACCACACAGGAGCTACACTATGAGCCACCTCCCGTAACTCCCTGAATGGTGCCGCTGTTACGGCGCGTCACAGTGCCAAGCACCCCCCCCCCCCAGCTCTACCGTCTGGGTTGACGCCTCTGTACACGAGACCCGTCCTGGGGCTCCACACCAGTGGCTGCTCTGCTCTGGTGTCCCACGTACGAAACCCGTGCAGCTTTTTCTCCATCATAAAGGCTTCGTCTCTATTTATTGTCTAGTTCACGAGCGTGGAAATTCTGCGAAGCCCCAAAATTATTATTGTGACAGAGAACACCCCCTCGTTGGGCGTCGGAGATCATAAACTGTTTATTAACACAAGGTACACTATGGTTGAGGAAGGATGTACAGGCTTCGCAAGTAGACACTTTGGTGCTTGATCAGTCCTCTTTTCTGTCTCAAAAACACAATACACAATTAAGCTGTTTCGTCAACACTCAGCACATGCAAATACTTCCACGTTCTCTGTACAAGTTTACTATATCACAAAAGCATTAATGGAAATATAACACCAAGGGTTTGATTCACCAAGCAGTTACGCGAGCACTTACGACCTTGGTTCATCTCTGGCGGCTTTGTTTACATATATTAAACACTTTGTGAGCTACGAAGCACTAGGAGGCTGTTTATAACAATAACAACATTTGATTGGGAAGTTTCGATGCTCGTAAACGGTTTGACAAAAGGTAAACAAAGGTGCTAAACAGGCGCCTTTGGTGCCGTTTAAGGCAGCGTCTGGGATGCTCTTGGACGCAGGTTCGAATCCTCGTCACGGCCCTTGTGGATTTGCTCAAAGGCGCTAAAGAGTGGGGAAAGATGTACAAGTTAGCAAGTAGATGCGTAGATGCTTGGTGAGTCATGGCCCCTGACCATGAATTGGACTGACCTTGTCAGGAGGGCAAACCTCTCCGAGTGACGCGGTGGTGGTGGTGCCGTCGCCAGGGTTGCCACCCTTCCCGCAGCTGCCCGCTGGCTCGCAAGTGCCAGTGACCAGACAGAACAGCTTGGGTGCAACAGAGAAAAATGTACAGTGCAACACAGAGCTCAGCATGGTAGAAAAACCTGGCACTTAGACCTTAATGGCACTACTACTACTACTGCTGTGAAATAAACTAATGTATTAATATATTTTATACAGTTGTGAGCCTAGCATATATTCAAGCACTGTCTTACAAGATTATGGCAGCTTCTCGGGACTTTCAAATATATTCAAATCATTAAAATACTGATGCTTTTATAATTCCTTTACAAGCCAGTAATTAAGAGAAAATAATAATAATAATAATAATAATAATAATAATAAAATAAATGCATTTTCAATAAATATTTTAGTATTTTCTTTGCCATTATTTGACAGCTAACATACAGCTCTACAAAACTGTAATAAATATATATATATATATATATATATATATATATATATATATATATATATATATATATATATATATATATATATATATATATATATATATATATATATATATATATATATATATCCCAACACTCCATCGGGCGTAAGGAGAAGAAATGAAGTAGAAGGGAGGGAATTATCAGAGGAAAGCACTCAGCCATTAAGACTATATAGCACTTGGAAGGGATCAGGATAAGGATTTGGGATGGGACGGGGGTGGGAGGGGAAGGAACGCCGACCTGCATGAACCGAGACTGTCACTTTACCGTCCAGCTCAAGTGGTTGGGCGAAATTAAGTAGAGAAAAAGGATAAAAGCGACGAGTCACAATAACGTGGCTAAAGTATGTATGACCAGACCACACACTAGAAGGTGAAGGGACGACGACGTTTCGGTCCGTCCTGGATCATTCTCAAGTCGATTGTGGTCCAGGACGGACCGAAACGTCGTCGTCCCTTCACCTTCTAGTGTGTGGTCTGGTCAACAAGAAGGTTAAAACACGCGGAGCTTCTTTACGTTATCATATAAGGAAACTAGTCGAGTGGTTAGGTCTGTGTTCCATGGCAAGTGTGGACAAAGCGCCTAAGAGTGCAAGACTTTGCTCATTCTGAACAAAACTGTCAGTTTTGTAAAAATGTGACCCCTTCTCTGAAACACTGCCGAGGACTGTATATAGCGACACCTGTGGATAACGAGGTCAGTTTAATAAGTCCATCCACGATTTTTTAATGTATTCTTCACGACGATGAGTGAAGCATAGAGTAGGAGTGTGAACGGAGCCCGGCGGGAGACGGTGGAGGGAGGAGACGGGTAGTGGTGGGGGGTAGACGGGCGGTGGGTGGTGGAGACGGGCGGTGGGGTGGTGACGTGGGTGGGGTGGTGGGGGGGGTGGTAGACGGGCGGTGGCGGGTGGAGACGGGCGGTGGGAGGTGGAGATGGGTGGTAGACGGGCGGGGGGGGGTAGACGGGCGGTGGGGGGTGGGGGTAGACGGGCGGTAGACGGGGGGGTGGAGACGGGCGGTGGGAGGTGGAGATGGGTGGTGGGGGGTGGAGACGGGCAGTGGGAGGTGGAGATGGGTGGTGGGGGGTGGAGATGGGGGGGGAGGGTAGACGGGCGGTGGGGGGTGGAGACGGGCGGTGGGTGGTGGAGACGGGCGGTGGGGGGTGGAGACGGGGGTGGGGACGGAGACGGGTGGGGGGTGGAGACGGGTGGTGGGGGGTGGAGACGGGTGGTGGGGGGTGGAGACGGGTGGGGGGTGGAGACGTGGGTGGTGGTGGGGGGTGGAGACGGGCGGTGGGGGGTGGAGACGGGTGGTGGGGGGTAGACGGGCGGTGGGGGGTGACGTGGGTGGTGGTGGGTGGTGGAGACGGGCGGTGGGGGGTGGAGACGGGTGGTGGGGGGTAGACGGGCGGTGGGGTGGTGACGTGGGTGGTGGTGGGTGGTGGAGACGGGCGGTGGGGGGTGGAGACGGGCGGTGGGTGGTGGAGACGGGTGGGCGGCCTCACCCACGCCCGCCCCACCACAAATTATAATCAGAACGTGATTTTCAACTGTTCGATTACCGTTTTCCTAGTTATGTAATTCAGTAATTATTAATATTTAAAAAAAAAAACTTCACTTGACTAAGTTACTGACATTGACATGAATGGTCAATTAATAAGCTGTTTGGATTCTCTGGTATTAACTATGAAAATGAAGATTATTAAATAAATTATACCCATGTTACTTTAACAAAATCGAACTAATTCTATGTACCTTGACGTCATCGGTAAACTTAGATTTCATGACTTGTATCTGGACTTAACCTTCCAGAATTAGCCATTAGATTTTCTAAAGTATCATTCCATTCCTCAACCGTAAGAGGAGTAAAGCTTGGCCTTACAAATTAAACATTTATATCTGTCGTTGTTGAATATATAATAAGATTTTGTATTAATTGCTTACCCTTCGATTTTAAATCGATTTGAATCAATTCCATCGGCAGGTGTTGCGAAGACCGAACATTTGTGCAAGTATTCCCTTTAAGAGTTGTCTACGATATTTTCACATGAACCAACGCCACGGGAGTTAGTCGCTCACAACCAATCCCAGAACCCCTCAGCTCAAAGCATCAAAGAAAACGACTTGCCGTTATTGAAGATTGGTCATCGCAAATCGTCAAAATAAGGAAACACTTGTGTATTTACCTGACTTATGCCAGAAGCTATTCATGGCTGCTATGTGGCCTGCGACTACATAGCAGTAGAGATAGCCTTACCTTCAGCTTCGGTGTTACTACTGGCAAACGTGTTACAACAGGCCAGTGTAGATATAAGTATACTACGGAAATCAGTTCATACCAAAACAAAACCTTCCCTTTTGTCATATGGGTACCGTAACTACATGAGAAATACATTCCATCCCCTTACCATACTGGAGTAAGCGTATTCATTGCCTTTTTGTGAATTTAGTACAATGGAATGAATATTAAACTCAAGAATAATAACAAGCCGTAAACCACACCTGTCCACGGCGGCAGTTCACGCCTGTGACTCGGGGTCGTTGGTCAAGTCCAGAACAGTCGCCACGAGATACACAAGTACCAAGTTGGAGGCAAAATTCTTGTTGGGGCGGACACCTGATGAACTTTGTCGAGGCGCGATGGATCCCTGATGGCTCACATTGGCCCTTGATGATACAAGAGCCAAGCCGAAGACAGAACTCTAGTCCAGGTGGACAGGATGAGGCTTCGGCAGTATTGGGGAGATTTATTGCTCGAGAACCACATCGACCCTTACTGACACATGTGCCAAGCCGAAGACAGAACTCTTGTTCAGGTGGACAGGATGAAGCTTCAGCAGTGTCAGGAAGATTTCTTCCTTGAGAGCCACATTGACCCTTACTGACACAAGTGCCAAGCCGAAGACAGAACTCATGTTCTAGAGGACAGGATGAGGCTTCAGCTGCAGCTGGTAGATTTCTTCCTTGAGAGCCACATTGACCCTTACTGACACAGATGCCAAGCTGAAGACAGAACTCTTGTTCAAGAGAACAAGATGAGGCTTCGGCAGGATTGGGAAGATTTGTTCCTCGAGAACAACATTGACCCTTACTGACACATGTGCCAAGCTGAAGACAGAACTCTTGCTCAGGTGGACAGGATGAAGCTTTAGCAGTGTCAGGAAGATCCTTGAGAGCCACATTGACCCTTACTAACACAAGTGCCAAGCCGAAGACAGAACTCTTGCTCAGGTGGACAGGATGAAGCTTCGGCAGTATTGGGGAGATTTGTTCCTTGAGAGCCACATTGACCCTTACTGACACAGATGCAAGTTGAAGACAGAACTCTTGCTCAGGTGGACAGGATGAAGCTTTAGCAGTGTCAGGAAGATTTCTTCCTTGAGAGCCACATTGACCCTTACTGACACAAGTGCCAAGCCGAAGACAGAACTCTTGTTCAAGAGAACAGGATGAGGCTTCGGCAGTATTGGGGAGATTTGCTTCTTGAGAACCACATTGGCCCTTACTGACACAAGTGCCAAGCCGAAGACAGAACTCTTGTTCAAGAGAACAGGATGAGGCTTCGGCAGTATTGGGGAGATTTGTTCCTTGAGAGCCACATTGACCCTTACTGACACAGATGCCAAGTTGAAGACAGAACTCTTGTTCAGGTGGACAGGATGAAGCTTTAGCAGTGTCAGGAAGATTTGTTCCTTGAGAACCACATTGGCCCTTAATGACACAGATGCCAAGTTGAAGACAGAACTCTTGACCAGGAGGACAGGATGAGGCTTCAGCTGCAGGTGGAAGAGATCTTCCTTGAGAATCACATTGACCCTTACTGACACAGATGCCAAGTTGAAGACAGAACTCTTGTTCAGGTGGACAGGATGAAGCTTTAGCAGTGTCAGGAAGATTTCTTCCTTGAGAGCCACATTGACCCATTGGACCCTTAGGATGACACAGATGCCAAGTTGAAGACAGAACTCTTGACCAGGAGGACAGGATGAGGCTTCAGTTGGAGATTTTGCTCCTGGAGGACCACACTGGCCCTTACTGACACAAGAACCAAGTTTCAAACAGAATTCCTGGTTCGGGTCACAATTTAAGATGGGAGGCGAGGAGCGTGGAGGTGCACACCTATCCTTAGGAGCACAGCCACCAGATCCCAGGCAGAACACCTGGTGGAGAGGTCATGTTACCAGCACGTCTCACTCTCTACTCTGTTACTGTATTTGTAATACAATGCACATTAAACCTTTTGTCTTTTGCACAGCAAATATAAGCCAAAAATATATATATTTCAACTTGTAACATGCATTATAAAGTTCTCACTTTTAATTCCTCATGATTTAAATAAGCATTAAGCCATAATGGCTATCTACATCACTTATAACAATCCTGGATATTAAACTATTATTTCCCTTAAATATACATTTAGATATGAAATATTAAATACAATAAATATCATATTCATTGTGTTTAAAATATGTGAACATAAGTGACTGCTTCAATCATTGCATCAAAATGTGACATTTAATCATGCTGCATATATTTATATGAAGTAACATAACCTGTCTAATCTGAGAAGTACATAGGGAATAAGGCAGAAAATAATTTGCGAATAATAACAGCCATATTCATAGTATGTCAACAATGTCACAGTGTAAATGGTAATGTAACTGAGTCAGTCCAGACACATTTCACCAAGAGCTCAAGAAATAATGACAGAAACAGAGACACTGTAAACACTATTACTACAATATCATCACTAATATGACTACCAATATTACCACAATATCATCACTAATACAACTACCAATATTACCACAATCATTATCAACTACCAACATTACCACAATATCATACCAACATTACCACAATATCATCACTAATACAACTACCAATATTACCACAATATTATCGCTAATATAACTACCAACATTACCACAATATCATCACTAATATGACTACCAATATTACCACAATATCATCACTAATACAACTACCAACATTACCACAATATCATCACTAATACAACTACCAACATTACCACAATATCATCACTAATACAACTACCAACATTACCACAAACATTACCACTAATATAACTAACCATATAAACACCAATATAACCAAGGATATTACATCTAATATAATTACCAAAATAACCACTGACATAACCACCAACAGACCACAATCAGGACATACAAATGAATATCTAAGAACGATGAACACTTTCAACAATCACTGCGCAAGTAATGCAACAATCACCATATAGTTGTATACACAAAGTTGGTTAATAATGTTACAGGCGAGCTGCGCCTGGACACTTCACTGTCAGATGTACAAATGAGTGACGTGGCGTGAGGAAAGATGTTGAGATAGGTCTACCGGTGAGGCTGCAGACGCGGCCTCGAGGACGTGTGGGTACCAGAGATATATATTAGGGCGCTAACGATGCGTGATATACCATATTTTATTTGGTATAAACCTTAATAACAGGCTTTTTAGACTCGGGCGACGATGAAGTATACAGAGAATTAGTGCGCGAGCGACGTGTATGCGCACTATCGAGTATGTTAACTCATGCGCAGAGTTTGTTTACTTACTCAAGCGCAGCGTGGAGTAAGTGTTTGCCTGAGTGATAGCACTCAGTACAGGCGTCCGTCCCGCGCTCTCCTGCGATACTTCATTCACTCAGGATTTCTCGACTTCTCTGATATGAATTGTTGCTTTTGGACGCGCGAGAACCAGGCAACGCTATGCGCTTAGGTTTGGTGGCGTGAATGTCTACTTCTATGAACTACCAGTAACTTAATTACCAGTACCAAACGTAGTTGTAATAGTGGGAAATATAGAAGAGGCATTACCATTACAAGACATTTCTGTAGTATAATTTCAACTAATAGTATCATCTGCAGCAGCAGCAGCAATAGCAGTATGAGTAACAGTAGCAGTACTATTCGCGTACGTAGCGTCGATATAAGTAATAAAAGCATGAAACAAGAGGTACAAGAAGCAGCAGCAGCAAGCTGGTTCACTTAGTGTGTGTAAAGTGGTCGTAGGAACCACCACTGACCTTCTCGTAGCTCTTACAAAGACACTGACCTACGTTCTTGCATTTATCTACCTACTCTACCCACTAACAAGACATATAAGCCTAAAGTCTAGCACGGTTATCATATTTATAACATAAATATGATAACCTTTCATCACATTACTAAGCAAATCAAACACAGGCAAACGATAACAAAAAGTTAAACAAATATCCAGGCAAGTAAGTAATTATCAAAAGAAGGCACTAAACCGAGAAGGCAAGATAGCATACTAGATAGCAGATATATAGATATATAGATAGCATATTCACGTAAATCAATCAACGGGAGCACGAACTTGAGCAGACAAAGAGTAAGATTTGACATTTTCTTCCACCTGTTCCCCGAAGGAAAAAATATCATTCTTACCGTAAGACAATGTTGGTATTTAGTTTTGTGTATGTGGTTAAGCCGTGTTGATTTACAATCTGAGGGGATTCTAGGTACACAATTTCGATACGAAACAGTTAACGATGCTTATAAACTATATACAACTATCATTCACGCATTACTTACCTATATTCTACTGTCAATCACGTAATGGTTAGTTAAATACTCCTACCATTCACCTAATGCTTAGGTAAATACTACTGCCATTCACCAAATAGTTAGCTAAAAACTACTGCCATTCACGTAATGCTTAGATTATACTACTACCTTTCTAAGAATACCAGCGACAACCAATTACCATCCCTGTATAGCTTAAACAAATATGCAAACTTAGATTTCCACGAGAAAGGAGAAACTACTAGTGGATGTGTAGCTAACGACGGTTTTCTCCTTCAGATCCCACACGACACCGACCATCAATGACCTGGTCATAGATGGTCGGTGATGCATCAAGGGGCTACTACACTTCTCCAACACAACAAACCTCCCAAGACGGCACACATGGCGGCAAAGATTTACTGACAACCTAATGTCATTTTCATGTCATTTTTAGGCTGCCGGAGTTGTATGTCAGGTTATAGTAGGAGTATGTTAGGTTATAGTAACAGTATGTCAGGTTATAGTGGCAGTATGTCAGGTTATGGTAACAAGAGAAAGGTCATGTCGATCAATAGTGTCAATACACATGACATAACAATTATAGTGACAATAAGAAAAGGTGAGTGTTTAAATTAATGTCATTCCAAGATAGAAGTCAGTACATGGTACCTGAGGACACAGGAACACATCATCATGCACGACACACCACACTGGCAAATTAAAGAGGCAGAGAACACCAGTTTGAAAATAGTGTTCCATGTGGTGCCAAGGCCCATATATATATAGTGCCAGTAATGTTATAGTGAGGGAAGATAATACTGAATTTATAGTAACAGGAAACAGTGCCAGAGGAAGATATGGATATTGAAGACAGCACCATGGGAAGTTGTGGAGGCAGAATACTCCTCTATGGGAAGTTGTGGAGGCAGAATACTCCACCATGGGAAGTTGTGGAGGCAGAATACTCCACCATGGGAAGTTGTGGAGGCAGAATACTCCACCATGGGAAGTTGTGGAGGCAGAATACTCCACCATGGGAAGTTGTGGAGGCAGAATACTCCACCATGGGAAGTTGTGGAGGCAAAAGACAGCACCATGGGAAGTTGTGGAGGCAGAATACTTCACCATGGGAAGTCGTGGAGGCAGAATACTTCACCATGGGAAGTTGTGGAGGCAGAATACTCCACCATGGGAAGTTGTGGAGGCAAAAGACAGCACCATGGGAAGTTGTGGAGGCAGAATACTTCACCATGGGAAGTCGTGGAGGCAGAATACTTCACCATGGGAAGTTGTGGAGGCAGAATACTTCACCATGGGAAGTTGTGGAGGCAGAATACTTCACCATGGGAAGTTGTGGAGGCAGAATACTTCACCATGGGAAGTCGTGGAGGCAGAATACTTCACCATGGGAAGTTGTGGAGGCAGAATACTCCACCATGGGAAGTTGTGGAGGCAAAAGACAGCACCATGGGAAGTTGTGGAGGCAGAATACTTCACCATGGGAAGTCGTGGAGGCAGAATACTCCACCATGGGAAGTAGTGGAGGCAGAATACTCCTCCATGGGAAGTTGTGGAGGCAGAATACTCCACCATGGGAAGTCGTGGAGGCAGAATACTCCTCCATGGGAAGTTGTGGAGGCAGAATACTTCACCATGGGAAGTTGTGGAGGCAGAATACTTCACCATGGGAAGTTGTGGAGGCAGAATACTTCACCATGGGAAGTCGTGGAGGCAGAATACTCCACCATGGGAAGTAGTGGAGGCAGAATACTCCACCATGGGAAGTAGTGGAGGCAGAATACTCCACCATGGGAAGTCGTGGAGGCAGAATACTCCACCATGGGAAGTAGTGGAGGCAGAATACTCCACCATGGGAAGTTGTGGAGGCAAAAGACAGCACTATGGGGATTTATGGAGGCAGGACAGAGGCCAGAGGTAAGATAATCATGAGCCCGGGATGACCACACACACTAACACAGTACATCACCGGACGTTTGATTACCACCGACCGCTCCTAGGGCACCAGTGCACAGCAGTTCACACCACGTGACGTCTGCATACAACATAGCGCCAAACACAACACACACACACTTGCCAGAACAAAGCAAATCAATATATTTCGTGCTGCTGATAAAAGCTGTAAGCTGTTTAAAATGAGACTTGGCAGCATGAGAATCAATCAAAATCTTGATGATGACCAGACCACACACTAGAAGTTGAAGGGACGACGACGTTTCGGTCCGTCCTGGACCATTCTCAAGTCGATTGTCTTGAGAATGGTCAATCGACAATCGACTTGAGAATGGTCCAGGACGGACCGAAACGTCGTCGTCCCTTCAACTTCTAGTGTGTGGTCTGGTCAACATACTTCAGCCACGTTATTGTGACTCATCGCCTGCGAATCAAAATCTTCCTTTGCATTACACTTCACCGTGTTAATCAAAGCAGAGATTCAGCCGCAACGCACAAGCGTCATGCAAACAATATTCGGTAGTCATTATAACTGTATCCATACATTAGTACACACCTGGTTAGGTGGACAGGTGAGGTGATCAGGGCTACCAACAGTGTCGCACCGACCCTCTGACACACAGGTTCCCGCAACAGGACAGAACACCTACAGACACATTGAGTTGCTCTCGTCAACATGTTTTAATTCATTATGGCACAAAAAATAAATCTAATTCCATAACAACTCATGAATGCATATGAGTAATAAAAGCAGGAAGCACGAATTAGTGTATAATCAGCTGAAAATTGTCTCTGAATATATCGGGAATAGTCAGAGCAAAACAATAATTGTGAATGGTAAAATATATTAAGTAATAAAATATTCAAAATTAAGGAATTAACTATGTAAACTACTTTTTATTAAATATTATAATGATGAAATATTTTAAGTAAACACTAATTGCTCCATCTGATAACATCGATAGCATTTAAACTTGAGTAGAAACCGTGTATATAACGTCGACACTTGTCTCACAATGAGTGCTCTTATACTCACATTACTGATTTATGAGCTGGCTACCCAAGGTAACGCAAAAACTACGTTAGCTCTTTGTTTGCGGTAGAACAACGCAAACAAATATCATGCCCGAAACGCTTTGCGTAATAGTGGCTTTAGGCATTGTATGTACTAGCTCTACCTATAAGTCAAACAATCCTTGTAAATATTTATTGTATGTATGTACCTTACCTAAATAAAATTGTATTGTATTGTAATCACCGTTCTTATACATAGAAGTGAAAACTAGAATAAAGTCTACGGTAAATACATTTCAGATTTCACTATCTGTTTTTTAATAGGTTTTTATTAAATTGGTAATGGTTTAATATTTTGATCTGTCCTTTTAGAATTTCATTTTTAGAATTCCTATAGGATTCATGTACTTTTTTTATCCCTGGCTTTCTCTCTGTCCTTATGACTCAATGTCTCCATGATCTACGAATTAGTCTTCTTCAAATTATTCAACAGTTTTATTCAATTAGAAATTGTGTCATTATTATATTAACTGTTATATATATATATATATATATATATATATATATATATATATATATATATATATATGCGGAAAATCCACAGAGAAATATGAAATGAGGTGAACGTTTTGGCTTTGTTAAAGCCTACGGTAAAAGAAGGCTTTAACAAAGCCGAAACGTTCACCTCATTTCATATTTCTCTGTGGATTTTCCGCATAAAATGATCAGTGTTTTGTGATCATCAATTGCATATATATATATATATATATATATATATATATATATATATATATATATATATATACTGTCAACTGTTATATATATATATATATATATATAAATGAAAACTGTCAAACATCTCTACAACACAACTGCGTCTCAAGTTTCTACCCATGCACCCTTGTTCTACTGGCATTCAGTGTGAACACTGCCCCTCTTTCCACTCTGTGAATTCCCCTAAGTACGCCTCTATCATACCTTCCCTCTCTCCTCCTTTTCTCTAGCGTCGCCAGGTTCAGTTCTTTCAGTCGCTCTTCATATCTCATCACTTGTAATTCTGGGACAAGCCTCGTCGCAAACTTCTGAACCTTTTGAACTTGTGTGTGTATTCGCCTAGTTGTATACACCTAGTTGTGCTTGCGGGGGTTGAGCTCTGCTCTTTCGGTCCGCCTCTCAACTGTCAATCAATCAACTGTTACTAACTACTAATTTTTTCTCCCACACAATCACACACAGAAAGCAGCCCGTAACAGGTGCCTAACTCCCAGGTACCTATTCACTGCTAGGTAACAAGAGCATCAGGGTGAAAGAAACTACCCATTTGTCGCTCCGGGAATCGAACCCGGGCCACAGGAGTACGAGTCCCGCGCGCTGTCTACTCAGTTACCAGACCCTGAGTATATGTATATGTGTGTGTGTGTGTGTGTGTGTGGAGGGGGTAGGGGGTGCACGCGTATGTCTGCTTGCAAGAGGTGTGAAAGTTTGCGTGTGGGGGAAGTGTGTTATGGCAACCTTTAGGTGTTTGACCAGCAAGAGGATCGATGATGTTTATCTACACCTTGCACCACCACCCTCGCCAACACTGACGCCATACTTGCAATATTATTATTATATATATGCATATATACACGTGTATTCACCTAGGTGTGCTTGCGGGGGTTGAGCTCTGCTCTTTCAACCCACCTTTCAACTATCAATCAACTGTTACTAACTACTATTTTTTCTATTTTTTTCACCACAGAAATACACATACACACATACCTCAGGAAGCAGCCCGTGACAGCTGACTAACTCTCAGGTACCTATTTACTGCTAGTTAACAGGGCATCAGAGTGAAAAAAAAACTCTGCCCATTGTTTCTCGCTGACGCCGGGAATCGAACCCGGGCCACAGATCACGTCTCCAGCGTGCTATCCACACAGCCACCGGCGCCGTATATATGTGTGTGTGTGTGTACTCACCTAGTTGTGTTTGCGGGGGTTGAGCTCTGGCTCTTTGGTCCCGCCTCTTATCTCGCCTCCCGCCTCTGTGTGTGTGTGTGTGTGTGTGTGCGCATGTGCATGTAATGCAGGTATGCATGCGTACACAGATCTCCACAAATCGAAGAGCAGTTCCATTGAAGTTTGCGAGTAAAGAGTAACTCAGGTACAAGCCATTGAGAAACGGCTCGCGAGATAACCAGGAGCATCGTCGCCTCCATATGACAGGTGTGTGACCTTGAGTGGTCACCGCGAGCAATAGTTGTGACCGCGAGCAATATTGGTCACCGCGAGCAATATAACCCGCAATGGCACGAGTCATTACCTAGCAGGAGCTTGGTGACAAATGCTTCACTACTTAGATGACAATTTTCCGCGAATGTGTTATTATTTCTTGGAATGTCAAAACATGGCTCGGGTTACTTCTTCTGCGCCTTTCACTATCTTCACTACCACGATCATGATTGCTGTCGTTTTCCTCGTTATTACCACTATCAAGTTCCCCCACCATCACCATTGTAATCATTATTAGCTTCCCAGCTACCACCATTACCATCTACCACTACTATTATTTGCATCTCCACCTTTATCATCCATCACAGCACTACCATTATCCACTATCACAACACCATTACCATTTATCATACCACCACCTCCATTACCCCCCTTCACCATCACAAACATCACCATCCTCCTCCGCCAATCCACCACACCCTACACACTCTTACCACCACCATCACAACACCCTCCCCATCTCACCAACACCACCACAACCACACCCCCACACCCTCCCCATCTCACCACCACCACCACCACACCCTCCCCATCTCACCACCACCACAACCACACCCTCCCCAACTCACCACCACCACAACCACACCCTCCCCAACTCACCACCACCACCACCACACCCTCCCCAACTCACCACCACCACCACACCCTCCCCAACTCACCACCACCACCACACCCTCCCCAACTCACCACCACCACCACACCCTCCCCAACTCACCACCACCACCACACCCTCCCCAACTCACCACACGCAACACCCCATCAACAAGAAATAATCACCCCCCCCTCCCCCCCGACGCCTTGTCCATGACCCATCCTAATAGAATTAGGACAGTTCCCAGCGATATGAACTCAAGGTTTTACTTGATTACACTCGGCGGGGCTGGAGACTCTTCTGCCAGGACGGTGTTAACCCAACGGCCTTGTCCCACCTTCCTCGACACCTTCACCCTCACACACACACACACACACACACACACGGGGCACACACACTAAGGAACACAGGTGGAAACTGAGTGCCCAAATAAGCCACAGAGACACTAGAAAGACCTTTCCCGTGTGAGAGTAGTTAGTAAATGGATTGCATTAGGAAGTGATGTGGTGGAGGCTGACTCCATACACAGTTTCAAGTGTAGATATGATAGAGCCCAGTAGGCTCAGGAACCTGTACACCTGTTGATTGACGGTTGAGAGGCGGGACCAAAGAGCCAGAGCTCAACCCCCGCAAGCACAAATAGGTGAGTACACACACACACACACACTATCTTCAGAAACCTGTGTAAGGAATCCTTCAGAACCTTGTGTACCTCGTATGTATAGCCAATGAAGTATGCGGCCCCAGCATGGAGCCCGTACCTTGTCAAGCACAAGACAAAGCTGGAAAGAGTTCAAAGGTATGCCATTAGGCATACCTCTGAACTCATGCCAGAACTAAGAGGCATGAGTTAGGAGGAAAGGCAGAGTGAACTGCACCTTACGTCGCTGGAGGACAGAAGAGCTCGGGGAGACATTATCACCACATACAAAATTCTCAGGGGAATTGATAGGGTAGACAAGGATGGATTATTTAACACGGGTGGTACACGCACAAGGGGACACAGGTGGAAGCTGAGTACCCAAATGAGCCACAGAGACATTAGAAAAACCTTTCCCGTGTGAGAGTAGTTAGTAAATGGAATGCACTAGGAAGTGATGTGGTGGAGGCTGACTCCATACACAGTTTCAAATGTAGATATGATAGAGATCGAAAAGCTCTGGAATCTGTACACCAGCAGATTGACAGTTGAGAGGCGGGACCAAAGAGCCAAAGCTCAACCCCCGCAAGCACAACTATGTGAGTACAACTAGGTGAGTACACACACACACATGTGTATGGCCTCGCGGCTGAGTGGATAGCCCTGGGGTGTCGTAGTCCTAATGACCCGGGTTCGATTCCCGGTGGAGGCGGAAACAAATGGGCAAAGTTTCTTTAACCCTGATGCCCCTGTTGACCTAGCAGTAAATAGGTACCTGGGAATTAAGACAGCTGCTACAGGCTGCTTCCTGGGTGTGTGTGGTGTGTGTTAAGAGAGAAAAACATGTACCTGTAATAGATATAACAGGTGAAACATAGATTGGTTAGAAAGACTGGGGTCCAAGAGCTAATAGCTGGATTCTGCAGGAACAAATAATAAATACACACCAATGTTCGCTAGGCCAGAAACATGACAGAACAAAGTGACACTTCGCTACAACAATTATCCCCAAGGGTTTCCCTGCATCGTCACCACTACCACTTGACTACCCTGACTCTTACTGTGTCAACAGGAATGTGTACGAGAGAGCCTGAATGGTCCCCAGGACTATATGCAACTGAAAACTC